CTGCTCACAAGTGCTTATAATGTGGCCACCAGTTTCTGTTTGATTTTTTTTCTCAAAATACATGTCCTTAAACAAGAGAGACTAATATAATTTCCATACTTCATCATTATCTTAATGACTTAATGACTAAAAAATAGTTATGCTCCTATTATATATTGTATTTATTAAGTTTTATGGTATTACAGGTACTTCCTTATTATAATTAGGATTCAGCATCTTTGTGAATCCATAAATTCAATAGCAATATACATACTCTGATCCAAAACATTTAAACTACAGCATTAAATTAATAGAACAATCTTTCATTCAAATTATTATGTAAATAGTGTGTGAAGTATCTTCCTTAAAGTTCATTTGGTGTGTCATTCTGTGGAATTTTCATGGCTGATAAATGAAAAACAATCTGAAATTCATTAAAAATAAAGTCTCCATTGAGTCAGTCTCAAATCCTATATGTTGATTTCTTGGCAATTATGCAAAAGTAGTTTGCCACTGTTTTCTTCCTGATTTTTTTTTAAATTTAGCCATCTAGTATACTGCTAGATGTTTTTTAAATGCAGATAAAGCTTTTATCAAGTAGTTATTTGCATCATTCATGAAATTCTATGATTCAGATATAGCTACTTTCCATAGCTATTTTTATTTAAAATTATTGCTTTTACCTTTTTTCCTTTCAGTGTCACTCTGTTAAGGGGTGAGAATCTGAATAGTGCATAATGCATTTTGATTAATGGCTCTAAAAACTAATCAGCTGTAATCTTTAAAAAGTGATTTCTCAGCTACGACTCAGTACAGAAAGCAGAACAAACTTACATTTGAAAAAAAAAAAAAAGCATTTGGGCCTTTTCCCTTAAGAAACAAGAAATGAAGGAAATCCAAAATCAACACTTCAAACAATCCAATTCTTTTCCAACTTTAATTTATATGAGGCAAATTATATTAGTAATCCCTGAGCTATTTTAATACTACTATCATTGGTAGAAAAGTTGAAGGAAGAAACTAATTTTTATCCTAATGTGTATCCGTATTTGTTTAAACAATTTATATGGCTACCCATTTAACAACTTTGACTGTAGGTGACAAAAAATAAAAATAAAAAACCTCAATTAATTAAAAACAAATTACAACTATAATCAACCAATATATCACATCAGCAATCCAAAAAGATCATTGTGTCTTACAATCAGAGTTTTTTTAAAAGCCATAAATAAACCAATCAACAAGGTCACCTAACAAGCTGGCTGAAATGCTGAGAGAACAACCAGGTGTTTACCAAGTTAGAAAAGGCCAAGAGGGTCAGGGGCCATCTGGATCTCTGGGAGGATGCTGTTCCACAGGACAGGTGCCGGAACAGAGAAGGCTTAACACCTAGGTCCCACAAGATGGCGCTGCTTAATAGAAGGGACCCAGAACATGGCCACCATGTTGGTTCTGGTAGAGTGAGCAGAAACAGTTTGAGACAGGATGTTTGACAAATAATATATCCATATATTGTTGATAACTGAGAAAAAATATCACAAATGATTCCATTTACAACTGTACAAAATTAATATGGAAAAGAACTATGAAAAGATATTCTAAAAAAATAGGTCTTTGTAATGATTATAGAACAAAGACCTATATAACACTTACAGCAAAGGTATGCCAAACATTCTTCAAGCATTCTTAAAGTCTCACAAAGAATCAATCTTTTCTTCTAAATCAGGCCTAGGCTAAATATTTTATTTGGCTGCTCAAAATGAACAGAGTAGTTGGGCATTAGGTCCAAATCAATTCTTGGACTCACATCAAACATTATCCTGTAATTTATCAAGTCAGTCAGAACAATGTTTCTAGCTAGAACCTTAAATGTTTACATCCTGAAAATAGCTAATTGAATCCAGTTTTTCCAAACTATTTTTCAGACTGTATCATCACACTCCGAGATAATAAATTTGAAATATGTATTACATTTGTTATGTAATTAATCTAGACAAGAGGTTCAAAAGTTTATGAAATCTAAATATATATAGTACAAAGAAATGAGATTCTTAGAGCAAACAGCATCTAAACATACTGAAAGTACATACCTATTCAAACAGTTTCAGTTAAATTTGTAGTTTCAGATATTTAAAATCAGCATAATTTTAGCATCAAAAATTATTGGAAGTAAATTTTTAATCAGGATGAGAATCAAACTGCAGGAGGCATGGAATTGAGGCATTCTACAAAACCTTAAAAACTCAATAGTCCACAGCATGTTTTATTCAGAAACCCCAAAGTTCTATATGCTTACTTCTAAATAAATATTATGATTATAGCATTATTTTTTAAAAAATATTGTTCTAAAGCATTTTAAGTACTAAAGATTCCTTAGAGACTATGGAAAAAAGAGACATTATGTGCAGACTAGATAGTTAGCCAAATGGTGTATCCTCTCCAGTGTTAAATATTTTGTTGATATATGATTACTAAGAATAGACAATTCTAATTCTTATTGTTTTCAAAGAATATTACAAAATTGATTTGTTAACCAAGTTACAATACTTGCTATTATTTACTCAAGGTTCTTAGGATCTACTGGAGTACACTGAGTTTTAAAAGTGTACCTCTTAAATTAACTACTGTGTTTGCCTTTTGAATGAGCTCTTGAAATAAATGATTTCCCTTTAATCTCTTAATTAGGGTATTATCATGAACCATGTCATATATATTAGTATGTAACAGAAAAATTAGAAACTAAAATAGAAATACAGAAGTCAAAAACAATTGCTTAAAAATATTTTCCTCTTTGCACATCAGCAGGTTTTTAAAGCTTAAAAGATTTGTTCTGCAGTATGATAATTTAGTAATATCAAACACAGAATTACAAAACATTTCAAGAAGTTATTGGAAAAACCTTTACTACATAAGGATTACAAATTTTTTAAATGCAAACTCATAATTTGTTAAACAACATAATCTCAATAGCACAATGTAAAACACTTAAACATAATTATATTGCATTGGGGGCTATTCTCCACTATACAGTTGTCATAAACTCTACTGAACACAGTGGAATTAACTTTGAGTAAAATATGGGTTGCAGAATTATTAGAACATATAAACATGTAAGGTTTATATCAGCAATCATATGCAATATTGTAAATGAAAACCTATAATTTTAATGTTTCAATATATGAAAAAGTATATTGGCATTTTAAAACTTGCTACAATATCAAAATGTAAATAAAACTATCGTTTATGTTCTTTTATATGCTTCTGTCCCTCCTAAGTAACAATCCTATATAGAATTGATTGAGACCAAGTTCCAACAAAAGCATGCATAGTGTATTTTGTTTAAAGTACAAGTAAACTGCAATATTAAAAGGTAGACTTTGTTTGTCTGTTTAAATTACAGGACTCATCTACTTCAGGTAGATATTGATGTAAACTGCAAATGTTCTGAAAAATCTAATTACGCTTGTATTCCATACAACATCGCAAGGAGCTATATACCCAGGTAACCTTACACAACCTTCCCCTATGGTGGTTGATTCAAGAGAGCAGCAGAGCACATCAAAACAAAGAGTACAAAGAGGCGGAAAACTGATTCAAGTTTACGCTCAAAAACTTTGGAACTTACACTGAACCTTCAAGTGGACTTAATCCTCTAAGCGTTGCAATATTTAATTTCATACAGGATAAACCGTTTACTGGCTTTAATTAATCCCCCTAAACCCTGCAAATAGTAGAATCAGAGGAAGAATTAAAAACCGCGGAAAAGCAGAATCCGTCCCGCTCACCCCAGCGATTCAAACTGGGATTGTTTTCCACCTTTCCGAATAACCAGCCCTGCAAGTCCTTGCGGCGTCTACAATTTCGTCTCTAGGATTTCACTTTTCTTTTTTTTTTTCTTTCCGCGCTTCCACACCAACCTTTCCGCTGCCCTTCCCTTTCCAGCCCCTCAGCCGCATCTTTTCTTTACTTTTCTTTTTTTTTTTTTTTTGCCCAGAAATGTGGGGGATGAAGAGTTTAATTTTCTCCCAAGGCCTGGATGCTTTCGGGGGAATCCGGAGGGAGCCCCCCCAGGTTCAATCTCAAAGGCACCCAAGCAGCTTATTCGCTTCAGCTCAGCAAACTCGACCCACCCGGCCACGGAACTCTTCCCGTCTCTTCTCTCCAAGCTCCCCTTTCCTTACCCTGCACCGGGCCCTCTCCTCCCACGCCCTCGCCGACCACCGCCCCGCCACCCCCGAGAACGCTTTCCTCCCCGGCTGCGACCCTCTCTCTCTCTCTCTCTCCCCACTGAAACAAAGCCGGGCCGCGCTTTCCTCGCCACGCCGCCCACGGCACGACCCACGCATTTCCTCTCTTCCCTCACACCCCCAAACTCGCGCTCCCAGGTCGAGGGGCTCCTTCAGCCCCGTCGTCCTTCCCGACCCCCCGGTCGCCTCCTTCCCCCCCATACGCACCCCCCAGGCCTGGCGGCACCCTCCGCGGGCCCAGCAACGTGTGCGCCGGGTAGCCCCGCAGAGCCCACCTCACCTGTCAGGCGCAGCTTGACGGGCCCGTTCCTCCGGGGGCCCTGGTTGGACATGACACCGTGGATCCTCCGGGAATGCGGCGCAGCCGTTCTCGGGCCCTCCCCGCCAGGGACGCGGCGGGGAGAAAGAGGGAGGGAGGGAGGGAAGGAAGGCGGGCGGGCAGGCAGGGGCGGGGTGGGACGGGACCCGCTAATGGAGTCGGGCCGGCCGCGGCTCAGAGCAGCAGAAGCAGCAGCAGCAGCAGCAGCGACGTTGGCGGCGGCGGCGGCGGCCGCCGAAGGAAGAAAGCCCGGATGTGCCCAATGTCGCCATGAGCGGGGGGCAGCGCCAGGAGGAGGAGGAGGAGGAAGAAGAGACGCAGCCGCCTTGTCTTCCGCCCCCTGCCCGAGGCTCAGCCGGCCAGGGCAACAAAGCAGAGCGGCCGACAGAGCAGCTTTGACTTGGCGGGCGAGCGGGTGGCTGTGTCGGCTGTTGCAAAAGGAAGGGTTGTTAATTGCCGCCGCCGCCGGCCTTTAGAGCGCTCTCCAGGCTGCAAGGAGCAAAAAAAAAAACCCGGTTTCGTCACGCGCAGAGGGAGTCCCTCAGGGCATTCCCACATAGGCTTCCCCTGGCCGTAGAAGTGGGGCGAGACTCCTCAGTCAGACCCAGGAGCCCCGAGGAGGACTGAGCCCAGCACACCCACACCCCCGGGGCGAAGCCGCTGGGCCTGCCTGAGGCGAGTTCGCCTTTGAAACATCTGGGCTCCAGGGTCTCTGTCAATGGGAGACTGCACGGATTTCGTGCTTATTTTTTCAAGGTTTCCCTCTCAAGCCCCCAGAGAGGTCACTTTTGTTTATGGCACCCGAGAGGTGTTGAGACTGTAGACTTGTGGGGGGGTTTTTTGGGCCTGGAGAAATTTCCGTCCTTCTTCAATGTGATGTCATTCGCGAAGCCTTCCAATATTTACAGTTGGTGGCTATAGTTACCCCAAGTTGATCAGTGAAATTAGGATCACTTCCATCCGCGGTCCAAAATATTGGGAGTTTCACTCATTTTCCTAAGTGAAACAAGACGAGGAAGCTATTTAGCTGGAGCTCTGGGTGAGGGTCACAGCCTGTTAACATGCAGATAATCCTTTGCTTATGACCACAATTGAGACCAAAATTTCCATTGCTAAGCAAGACAGTTGTTAAGTTAATTTTTGCTCCATTTTTATAGTCTTTCTTGCCACAATTAAGTGAATCACTGCAGGTATTAAGTTAGTAACACTTGTTAAGTGAATCTGGCTTCCCTGTTGATTTTGCCTGTCTGAAAGTCAATACCGTAACCGTCATAAATACAGGCCACTTGCCAAGCATCTGAATTTTGATCATACGACCATGGGGATCCTGCAACAGCTATAAGTGAAAAATGGTCATAAGTCATTTTTTTCAGTGCCATTGTAACTTCAAACAGTCATGAATAGTTGTAAGTCAAGGACTACCTGTAATAAACAGATAAGTTCACGATTCCCAAATAGATCCAGTTCTCATTTTTTAGTTCAGTGGGTTTGGGAATCAGGTCCCTGGTAACTATTTGGGCTGGCAGAACATGAGTAAAACAAAATGGTAATTCAGCAACTATAGAGTAGAAAAGCAAAATCTAGAGTATGTGTCATGAATGAATATTCCATATTTAATGCTTGAATTAAACATTGAATTACTTATTTAATACAAGGATTGGCAATATTTCTTCAATACAATCCAAGGTAGCATAGTCAGTGGTAAAAGATGAAAGGATTTGTAGTTCAGTATCTGGAGAAGTCTCAGTAGATGATACTACATGATCGACTAGCTCAAAACTGGGCCTGGTAGCTCAGCAGACTGATAGCATTGTGATTAACACCAGCTGTCTGCAATTACTGTAAGTTTGAATCTCACCAGGCTCAAGGTTGACTCAGCCTTCCATCCTTTCTAAGGTAGGTAAATTGAGGACCCAGTTTGTGGGGGCAATAAGCTGACTTTGTATAAATATATAAAAGTATGAAGGCTATTGCTTAACGCATTGTAAGCCGCCCTGAGTCTCCAGAGAAGAGCGGCATATAAATCAAATTTAAAAAAAAACTATTTAGTAATAATGATTGGTTAATCTTGGATAGGGGCCCACTAGGGTTGTAGGTTAGACAGGGAAGTTTAAAAGGATCTGAGACTAAATAGTATGTGCTATTTCCAAGAAAACAGTATGGATGTACTGTATAGTAATCAGGAGTTAAGTTCAAAGGCATTTTTGCTGTTTTAACTTCTGGAAGATTGTACTATGGCTTGCTAAAAAACCTTGGAAAGCCAGTACATACAAGCAATATTAGGCTAGATCAGGCATTTCAACCCACAGCCTACAGGCTGCACACAGCCATGGAGAGTTAGTAATGCAGCCCACAAAATAATAAAAACTATTTAAAAAAGGAAGTTTGTTTTATATATATATATATATTAACTATATTATATAGTTTATATGCAGCTCAAGACAATTACTCTTCGCTCAGCCCAACAAGCCAAAAGATTGGCCAACCAAAGGCTAGATGGCGAAATTATCCCTACTGTTGTTCAGTTCAGATTTCTTTCTGTTTATCTAGCTGCATTACTTCTTAACCAAAGCAGCCATATATCCTTCTAAATTAATTTGCAGGCATGTGTGACATCCTCACAGTTAAATAGCAAAGTTGTACCTACATCTGATTTTTAAACAAACGTTAAAATCAGATGCAGATACAACTTTGCTATTTAACTCTGAAGACGCCACACAGGTCTGCAAATTAATTTTAACCTTATAATTGTTTGAGAAGAAAGATACTTGTACTTGCTTATTTTCCAAGTTTATGAAGGTTTTTTTTTCTCTAATTTCCTCATGTTTCTCCTTCCTAAATTCTTTGGAATTGTCTAAAAGCTTAGGATGTTGTTTAATCGCGTAGAAGATTCTAATATACCTGATGGTATTTCTGGAATTTGTACCTATAAGCTAAAACGGGAGATTTATTTATATAATTAATCAGTTTATTACCTACCTTAATTACCAGAGTGACTTTGCAAGAAGCAGTAAGTATATTAAGTTATCTTGAATTTTAATAATATAGTCTTGTAGATAAATATCTGAACTTGCCATAACAAGCAAACCCATCTATCCTGACATAAAACAACTCCATTGAAAGGTCTGGCAAGTTAGTTATTGGATGGAAGTATTATTATTCACACTGTATGAGATGACTTGTGACTCTTTACAATTTCTCAACTTGTGCTCTCAAATATTTTAATATTTATATCATTGATGCTGATGACTTTAAATCACCTATTCAGGCGTCATTCTGTTGAAACTCATTGCAGAGCAACTGGTTTAATATTACTGGTACAAAACAAGCCTCAATAGATCTTCGTTATAAGTACAAGGATTAACATTATAATCTCAAGAGGATATGTAGATGGAGAAAACCAGATATTTTTTAATAGCAGAATAAAATGTTGAAATACCATTAGGTTATACTTAAAATATGTATCCCTGAAGTAGCTACGTCAAATAAATCTGGAGTCTCAAATTGATAATTGTTTTAATTATTACAAATCAAAGAGTTGTATCACTTGTCCAACTTGAATTACTTTACACATTACAGAAATAACAATATCACCTTATAGGGGAGTTGGGTGGCATAAACATTTAATAAATAAAAGAAATTAAAAATGTAATAGTCACATATCTACTGCCCATGATCCTTGTAACATAAATCATAGTCACAAATGAAGGCAAATATATGTGTCCCAGGATAACGTTGCAGGATCCAATCTGGGTCAGTCACCAGGACCAGAGGTTTAATCTTTTGAACTTTCGGGCTGTTGCTAGAGCCCATTGTTGCAGAACTTCTCTCTACCAGAATATATTCAGAGAAGTTCCCTGAGGATAGGCTCCAGCATGAGTCTGACAGCTCAAAAGACTGGTCTCATGACCGACCCAGATCGGATCTTATAAATCATAATGTTTACTAATCTTGTATTATTAAAATAATATAATTGTTATGTCCATAATACACACTATGCCTTTGACACACTTGCAGTTTTAAAAAAAGGCTGAGTCTCACATCACAGGTGTTATACAGATCAGCTCCCTTAATCTTTGTCATTGTGAAATACCCTTCATGTGGCTTCAAAGCAGCTCAGCAGTAAAGCAGATCTCTATAAAGAATTCAAATACGTCACACATTTTGTATTCCCACAATAGTGTTACAATTCCTTGACGTAAAAAGTGTCAAAGAGAGATACGTGCAGCTGATTTGCAAGTAAGTTTGCAGAATTAAGGAAAACACTCCAAACGCAGGATATTTAATTAACTGAAACAACTTTGCAAAATATGAAATAAGCCTAGAACTAGAATTGAAAAAGGCTGATTAAATTATAGCACAGATTTTTTTTACAATTTTTCTATATTTTCATAATTCCCAACAAATAAAGTAGAACATCGTAAAACTCTTTTAAAACTATATTAAATAAATGTGATATTTTAAAATGGCTTTTAAATAATATTGACAGGAAATAGTTCAATAAATCCTTTAGGTTTTTGGAAAGTAACTTAATGAGTAAGTAATTTCAAAATTATTGTCTATCTCAAACTCATGTCGTCACAGAAGCATCATGTGTTGTATCACAATTTTTTTTTCCCCTTTGCTAAACTGGGCATGGGCATGGCCAGCGTGTGATGCATCTGGCCCGCGGGCCACAAGTTTGACAGCCTTGGTGTATCTCTTCTATATTAAAAAAGAATTGTCCTTTACTTACAACATTTAAATATGACTTCAAATAATTGCATATCATCTCTTCTATAAACTAGCTTCATTTCCTAGTAACTATTTTAAAACAAATATGTTTTGTCAGAAGTGTGGAAGTTTTGACAGGCGATTACACTTTCAGTAATGCCTTCTGGAATGATTAAGGAATCGAGTACACTAAGACTGGCTGTAATTTTATACACAATTATCTGGGATTAAGTCCAATTGAATTAAGTAAGACTTCCTTCTGAGCCTTGAGTAGACATATATAAGATTACATTATTTAAAAACATTCAATAGTCTAGTTGAATCAGACCAAAGGACTGTCTATCCAGCATTCCTTTTCAACACTAATATCAAGATCCAGCCTGTCTTTAACTTAGAGGCTTTGATAGAATATCCTCGCCTATGGTTAACAGTTGTTTACTCAATCCAGTTCTGTATTTACACAATGCGCTTAACTGGATCAATGGAGAGGAAAGAAATGAATTGTGCAAATCAGAGGGTGGGGAGGGAGGGATCTAGACAGTTTTAGACCAAAATAGATCCAAGTTTGCCTTCCCAGTTAACTAAATTTGAAACCAAAGCTTATATAGGCTTTGTATAAATGATGCCTTTCTAGACCTGTTGCTATTTTAATTTTCCTCACACTCGTGTGTCCACTTGTATCCCATGACCACATGGAAGTGAAAAATGGGCAAAGGCAGGTGAGCAGAATAAGCTTCCTGTAACTGTCCATATTGATGCCAGTCCTGATCACATTAGTCTAATTTCAGTTCTCCTCCACCTCCCAGGAAAAGGGAATATGTTCTCTCTGCCAAGGAAGGAAGGAAAATTTATTCCCAGCATCCTTTGCAGCAGTTGTGAATATTTAGAAGGCGTATGCTGAATATGCTGACTGAGCTATCATGCCTTGTGCATTGTTGATACACAAAGATTGGTTTCCTGGAAGCAGGATGTCTTAATCATGTCATCTCCATATTGTCACTATGTCACAAGATAATCATCAGTTAAGCTGATGACCATGCAAGGTTAAAATGGGATGGGCTGGTTGGTGTTCAGAACCCAATTTAGGTGTATTCATGAACCCAACCTAAGAGTTTTCTTCTCTGGAAGAAGATAAATTTCTGTAGAAATATTCAGTCCCGTATTTAAAAAGTGCTGAGAAACTTCCACTTGAGAAAAAAAAAATGATTTTATTCCAGGGAGATCTTTTCTAGCTTCCTAAGAATCTAGTCAATCCTTCCCTAGCACCCCATGAGGGGTGAAATTCAAAATTTTTCCCTACCGGTTCTGTCAGCGTGGCTTGGTGGGCGTGGCAGGGGAAGGATATTGCAAAATCTCCATTCCCACCCCAATCGGGGCCCAGCCAGAGGTGGTGTTTGCCGGTTCTCCAAACTACTCAAAATTTCTGCTACCGGTTCTCCAGAACCTGTTCGAACCTGCTGGATTTCACTCCTGCAGCCAACCATAATACTACAGCAACTCTGAACATCCGTGGATATGGATTCAGTACAGTCATAGAAAAATAAGAGCCAGTTTGATTTAGTGGTTAAGGCAGCAGGCTAGAAACTGGGAGATTGTGAGTTCTAGTTCTGCCATGGGCACAAAGCCAGATGTGCGACCTTGGGCCAGTCGCACTTTCTCTTAGCCCTAGGAACCAGGCAATGGCAAACCACTTCTGAAATCTTGTCAAATAAGCTACAGGGATTTGTCCAAGCAGTCACCAGAAGTCAACACCAATTTGAAGTCAGAAATAAAAAATAGAAAAATAGTTCTTTAGGAAAAGACCTAGCTTTGAATAATAAATCAGCCTAGGACCAGAAATAAAATAACAAAAGATGAAGCACATTGAAAGACTCAGCCTTCTCTGGACAAATAGATCCTTACTTTAAGGAAGGTCTTCTCATCGTTCCTGTCGCCCATCTCCTCCCACTTGTGACTGCATGACTGTAACTTTGTTGGTATCCTTGCAATTTATATTGATATTGTTTCCTAGTATGATTTGATTGCTTGATTGTACCTTATGACTGTCACTGGGTGTTGTGCCTTGTGATTCTTGACAAGTGTATCTTGTCTTTTTATGTACACTGAGAGCATATGCACCAAAGACAAATTCCTTGTGTGTCCAATCACACTTGACCAATAAAGAATTCTAGTCTATTAATTAAATGTAGTTTTTATTATCATAGTCAACAATTGACTGCCCCTGATGAGAAGGAATTTGTACAACACAGTAAGATGAAGTATGACTTGCTTGTTTTTGACTTGGATGAGTCCAGTGGGTTTTAGACCATTTTAATATGTTTGTGTTTTGGGAGGTAAAGGTTTGAAAGTGCAAATGGAGTGCAGAACTCAGACTTGCAGAAACTTCAAATTTCACCTTTTTAAATTTCAAAAAATAAACCCAACCAATACCTTGCCCAGTGAGGTCACACACAATATCTCACATCACACCTCCTGCCATTCCTAAGAGGCCAAAACCATTAAGTGCATCCTCCAGTTTATTTTATGATGTGAGCAGAGCCAGAATGCTATATTAGCTGTTATCATGAACAAAAAATGAAGAGAGCAAGCTTGATACTAATCCAGCCCATTTTAACAGGCCTTTTGTTGCCAGCAACGGGTGTTTGTCACCACTGGTTTAAGTGAGATAAAACATCTGGCAGTTCCACAAGATTACGATTTCTCTGTCTACAAAGGAATGCAACAAGAATTTTGTGATTGGTAACTTTGGGTGTTTTCTGTCTGTGCTGCTAATCATTCCTACTCCACCCTGTTATTGTTTGACCCTTTGCCTGAAATGTCAATCCTTAAATGAATATATCATGGATAAAAAAATATTTTGCAATCCAAGTGGCAGAAAATGAATGAGGGTGTTTTTTTTTTTTTAGATTGTGTTATATTTTATGGAGTGCCATTTATGAAGAGATTATTCAAGTATTAAAATTAATTTCTGTCCCGTGATCTCTGTTTCACTCAAGGTTGAGACTGTATCACCAAGTCACGAATCTTTTCAGGACGAGGTAAAAAGCACAAGCCCAGGGGAAAAGAGTGCCTTGCATCACCCAGCTGCTCAACTTTTTGGATGACGTCATTTCTGACATAAAGGAGTTTCTTCACTTTGTGCACCAGCTGTCAGAAGCCTCATGATGGAACCTGTACATCTGGATGATGGAACAGAATGTATGAAGGAAGGAATATGGAAAAATCCTGTAGGGTCTGGCCAGAAGTACAGATGCTCCTCAGGGACATAAAACATAACTGGAAGCAGGAAATTAAAAGGTGCCCCAATGAGAAGTTGTAAATTTCACTGTTTTTCATACATATTGAAAGGAACAATAGACAAAATAATAACACTGAAAATTAGTATCAAAATAATAATAATGAATATTGTAAGCCTTTGGTTCTTGGATTTCCCAAAAGGGAAGTGTTTTATCTTTGGAAATGAGCTTATTGCACAACTATCAATCACAGACAAAATTTTATGCTTAAAATGTTTTTCAAAATGATATGTATTTCTACATAACTTCTATAATATAGGATTTTGAAGTAAATAGAAGAGGCTATTGGAGCTATTGGAATTCATTGCAACACACCCCCCCGAATCACTGTCTTTTTAAAATTAAGCTAGGTAGTAATGCAACATTACACAAAACATCTGGGGGGCGGTGTCTGGATTGGGGAACTGTGCTCCAGAATGTTGGGTTGCATTTCTCACTATACCTAATGACCGGCCATGCTTGCTGAAGCTTACCGAAGTTGGTTCTGTGACGTTTTGAGTGCCATGCTTGAGTTGGAAAATAAAGTTAGATAAAAGACAAATCCTTGGCTATCAAAAGAGAGGACAGGACATGAGATAACAGACACAGCATTTGAAGCAGGATGCAATTAAGGGAAATGATGTATCAGTGAATGGAAATGACTGAGCCCTGGTGGCCACCTTGTTACAAGCTGCAGTTGTATAAATCAGATGTTTCCAAGAGTTAGTCACCCTCTGAGTCCATCCTTGGTTGTATTAGTAATGTTAGATGATGTATAAATATGTTGCTCCTTAGTCTGGAATGTTTGCTTGCATATCTTTCAATTCTGCCATCTGTTTAAGATATGTCTTAATACTTCAAAAGCTAAAATTCTTTCCCTTGATAAAAAACAAAAAAATAAAATAAAATCAGAATTTTTTAATTGAAACATTTATTTGCAACCATAGGTTTTTACCAGATGAATATGATTATATGGCTATGATAGAATTATCACTACAGCAGCCCAGACACATGTCAATGCATGTGAGTCTTCCAGTGATTAAATACATGTTACAAACTATTTGGTCATTATGAGGATGCAGTAACAGTAATACTGGTTTGGAGGATAACCCGTCCATTAATAACCATTTTTTCCCTCAGCAAAGTGACTTTACATGTTTGTTTTTTTTAAATCCTAGAAAATGTGAGATTAACATTTGTTCAAAGTGTTATGAGAGGGCAACATTTAACCAGGTAATGGGTTAGCTTGGGGCCACAATGGGGGACTATCACAGTGGAGGTGGTTATAAATTAAAAATAGATCCCAGCTCCCCCCAATCCTGTTCCTGCCCCCCCATCTTTTAATTAGGCCACAGTGTTTGGCTTTTTATATGAACTAATTTGTGTCTTTTAGCTTATATAATTTTTATCTTTTATAACTGTAAGCTACCCGGAGTTAACCTGAGGTAAGATGGGCTGCTAATACATTTTATAAACAAATGAACAAACAAACAAATAGTTGAAGCATTATATATGTCTGCATACATAAGATACTTGTTTATCTCTATCACTGCCTCAGAATGGACTAACTTGCTAGCATTGTCAGCAAAACAAAAAGAGCAGGGGGGAGAGAATGCTTCTAAATGTGTTACATTTGGAGGGAGGATTAGTTTATATTTGGGGGAATTATGTCATCACATTAACATATTTCTGATTTTATATGCACCACGTACAGAAATATGGATGCTGAGGAAATATAAATATATGTAACTCCATGAAAAGTTGTTATTGTAATATTTGCTTTGCATAAATATTTTAGATGCAATGACATAATGCTACAAAAATACCAATTTTTCTAACAAGAAATCAAAATGTTCTTCTCCTTGTCAGTTCCTGTGCCTAGTTTAGCAGCCTCTTGAGATAATAATGATTGTGAATAATGTGATCAGTGAATTTGACCCTGAAAGGATTTTTCCTCATATGTCTAGATCTTAATTCTACATTAAGATCTTAATTCTATATTTAAAACTGTCAATAAGCTTTCTGAGCATTAAAGCCATGTTTTTAAAGAAATTATGCCAAAACACCCTTTGAGTCATTCAATATCCTGAAATGTTCAGTATTTGCATTTGCAATGCCAACTGTTATCAGAGGTCAGCTAGCAAAAGAAAAATTATAAATGGTTTGGATTTCTCGGTTATATTAATGGAGAAATTTGAGGCTGCTTTTACCCAATTATTTGGATATAGTTCAAACTGAAAATGTCTCCCTTCTCATTGCAATCTTGTGCTAAATCGATTCAGCCAAAAGATTGCCTGTGTTTAATTCTTGGCACAATTAATCACTTTATGTGAATACATGCAAACTTTCTTCTTAACAATATATTGTTACTCCACTTTCCCATGTTAAGCCATGGTTTATTAAACCATCACTTGCTGGACTCACGCAATAGTGAACCAAATATTGTTTACAAATTCACACTGCACACTAAATAAAATCAAAACATACCATGAGTTAAAGCAATATGTGAAACAAGTGACAGGCACCCAATTACAAGAACTATCTTGGCATAATTTATAAAGGGAAAGGGGAAAAACATTCAGCTATGATATTATACCATTCCTTGTGTTCATTATAGACTTCTGAGTGGACTGGGTCACTTTCACTATCCTATAGAATCCCTGATATAGCATAATCTCAAATTTTGGGGCAATTAAAGTCCACCAGAATCTAAGTCCCAAAGGTGTTTTTCCAAAAGGTAACTGGACGTTCTTGGTTTTTTTCCTTTAAAACATTTCGTTTCTCATCCAAGAAGCTTCTTCAGTCCAGTTGCCTTTTGGAAAAGCATCTTTGGAACAACCAGAACCTGGATGATTGAGAATCATCCATAGACACCAGAATCTATGGGTTCTAAAAAATCCAGATAATTTTTAGGTAGCAGCAGCAGCAAGGTCTTTGCTACTGTCTAGTGGTTATATCTAGATGTTTCTAGCCTGGATATTTTAGCCCTACTACTGACAAAGGAGAGGACGCTCAGATATATTTTACTCAGATCTTCTTAAATGTGGAGCAGAATCAAGAACATTCCATCCCATTCATTATGCACTTGGAAATGGATTCCAAACTATATGAAATTTGCACATTCACCTGTAAATTTCCTACCCATTTTAAAATATATGAGAACAATGATAGGAAGAGATTACAACTGCAGGTCGTCCCTGGGAGAGTCTCCAATATAATTCATTAGGGCTTTCTTGTAACAAGATACAAAAGGTTACACTTAACATTGCCAGCTGCCTGAATTGGGATAGCACAAGCTATCTTGTGCATACAGGCATCTTTTGCATCCGCTCCTGGATACAAACATTTTTATATGAAATTGGACTGCAGAAGAATGAGTTCTGCGTGAAGAAATTGGATGGAGAAGATGTCTCTTGAAAAGAATGGTATTGATTGGAATGCAGACTGTCTAAACAAAGATTAATCATCTAAGAGAGAATCCATTATGGCATAGCAGGGAGGGTGACCAATGAGAGAAAGAATCCATGTCATTTCCAGGCCCAGCCAGGATATGCCACTAGTTGAAGATATATCTGGGGACTGGGAGGCTTATTTATAACAATAAATAACAAAAACATTAATATTCTTCTGTCACAAGTTGTTGTCCTGATGTTATTTGATAGTCCCCTTGATAAAATTCTAGCATCTCACAATACCCAAAATATTTATCTTTGCCTATGATTTCTCATCTATAAAATGCTTCTTGTGCCAAGTGTCATAAATGTGTTTTGGGGCATAACTGGGACTGTATTTATGTTGGGCCTCATTCAATGACCTCTTATTTTCTATTAACCCTGAGCACTAAGGCGGGGCTCACCCAAATGATTCGGTTTGGGCTTAGCATGTCACATGACTCCAATTGTAAATCATACTTTTACAGCCCCGCGTCTTGTACAAACTCGGCTAACGGAAGTGCATTGAACAAAATCTGGGGCAAAGTCCAAGCCCAAGCTGTTTTTAGAAGGTGCCTTACAGCAAGGCAGACCAGTGGTTCCTGCTGTCGTCCCTGGCAATCACCAATGTGTGAGTCCACAGCCTGAAATCTCTTTAGGCTGGTAATGCCAGGGATGCAGAATGTAGCCCTCTACATGGAAAAGACATATTCTGCCAAATCCTCTTCAAAGACCCTTGCAATTTCTGCCGAGCGTTTCTCAAGGCGGGCTGTCGTTTTGATAACGTTCCCACTGTGCTAAGTCAGACTGGTGAAACAATGCTCTTTTTCCAGCCGTCAGAGGAAATGAAATGGTATGCGGAGGTGATTCAAAGTCCCTCCCCATTCCTAGAGAACCGATTCAGAAAAGAAAAATGTCCGAGAATTGTTTCTGTCTGGGGTGGGGGCTGGGGAGAGAAATAAGAATTTCTTATTACTGGAGCGTTAAGAGGAAGATTCCTCTGGAACTGAACGTCTATCCATCTGCCTGCTGATGAAAAAAAGCAATTTCCACATCTGTTTCACAGAGTGGCTCAAGAGGAAATTTTTTGGAGGCTGGGATAATGCACTTTGGAGATTTTTCAAGGATTTCTGATAGCCCCAGTGTTTCCAAGGTTCTCTATAGGCCTGGCTGCATTCCCTAGGATTCAGAAAGATTGCAACACGATGCAAGATTTTATATTCCAAACTACCAAGGTCCTTCAAAACTTCATAGTACAAAACAGAATAAAACAGTCAGTTACTAATTTCTTTTTTTGATGCTCCACGTTTTCCTCCCAACTGGATGATTTAGATGGCTAAAAAGGAAAAGAAAATACAAAATATAATAAAGAGGTGAATTGAGGCAGAACTGAAAAACCATATATTATTAAGTTCTTCCTAAAAGTACAGGTAGTCCTAGTGACCTCAAAGAACAGTGACGGTTCACAATTATGATGGCGATGAAAAATAACTTCACAACCAATGCCCACAATCTTTATGGCCTCGTTCTATTGGTCTCATGTTTGCCATTACCATCAGTTACCATGCATTGTCTTGCATAAAATCACAAGCACAATCATGGTTGTGTGATTATTTTACTTAGTAACTATTTTGTTTAACAACTAATCAAATTTTCTGTCAGTTACCCATCACCTCTATGCTTAGGCAGTCGTTGGGATTTAACTAAGAATTTGTGTGTGTTTGTGCTCATGCATGTATGTGGGTAGGTGTGTTGTAATCTAGGCTTCCTGAGTCATTAAAACACACGAGTAGTCCCAAAAACCTCTTTTATTGCAACAGCTGTGAATTACGTTCATTCATAGCTGAGTCCCAATTAGTTGCAAAAAGTCCTTCGGGAGAAGTCCTTCGGGATAATCACCAACCTTTATCTCCCTTGACACGCTGCCAATGACCTACTTGGCAAAGCCACACGGAGTGCAGAATCAAACAGAGATGCCGACTGGGAACAGAATTAACAATGTTGCTTTCCTGCAAAGGGCCCATGTGCCTTTGCTCCTCTTTTAAGCCTTATGGGAGGGGCTTTACTCCTGAGTCATCCCTTTAGTTTTAACTATTCTTGCCTTCTGGCAGCTCTGCGCATGTGTGCACTAGGAACAGGCTCCTCCTGTTCCTCTGCCTCTCTGATGTCCGACTCTGGAGGCTCCGGAGTCTGCGCATAACTCCCAGATGGCCCTGGCCCCATCTCTGCCTCTGACACAGAGCCCTCATCTGAGCCTTCCCCAGACTCCAGGACTGGCCCATGTTCTTCCCCAGACTCCTCACTGTCCGACTCTGCTGCCAACTCTGCAGGCAAGTCAGTGTTGACTCCTGGCAACTGCCTGGACCAGTTTTCTTGGCAAGATTTCAGAAGTAGTTTGCCATTGCCTTCATGGTAGGGCTAAGAGAGATTGACTGGCTCAGCTGGCTTTGTGCCTAAAGAGACTAGAACTCAGTTCTTCCAGTTTC